TTAAGTAGTTTATATCAATCCAAAAAAAAAAGTATGACACTAACAAAAAAAATTAATTAATAAATACATAAAAAAACATTAACTTTGTTTGCACTGGCGGAAGGCTGAAATCACAAATAAAAAAAGTTTATCACACAAGAACCTGCTTGTGATCGGTCATTTAGTATGGCACCTATATGCTTAAGTCATTCGATCTGAACAATTTCTTCGGAGATTGCATTATTGTCTTAGATATTAATTCATGCAAAATTTCTTTAAGATATCTCGTCAAATGAAAAAGTTTTCTATGCAAGCACTTGATACAGAGCAAATGAGAAGCTTTTTAAGAAGAAGAAAAGGAAGAAAAGGTGTTCGAAATTTTAGCTCGATATCCCAAAAACTGAACGACTTACAACGCACTTCATCACTAAATCTATTTACCTAAAATTAGTCAGCATCAAAGTCAAGCCTTTAAAAAATTTAGCTTTGCTTGCTTAAGTATTGAAACTCACATTACTTTCAAGGTGTTTTGATATACATTTTTTAGTCACTACATACATATAAATATGTCGCAGCAGCAATGATTCTGTTCTATTGAAACCGTATTAACACCTAAGTGTGAATAGGAACAATGAAAATATATGTTTTGACTGCAAACCAATTAGTGTCAACAAAATATGTTTAGCAAGAAAAAGCTACAAAAATTACAATGAATCATTTTTAGTTTACTAAAAAGATAAAATACTGTAAAATAATAATAAAAAAATCGATTTAGATTAAAAAGTTAGACAAATTGCAATTATAAAATACTCTAAGCCGAGAAGAGAAATATTCTTTTCCAAACAAATTCGAATTGAACAATTTTGTTTATTTTTAAAATCACATGACTTCATACTTTTATTAGAAAGCGTTTTTATGCAGCAATTATTTGTCTATTCTCTTGGCTTCCACCAGTTTCGCGCGCCATAAAGACAGGCGTTCAAGTCCATCTGCGTAGAAACATTAAGCATTGGTATAAGCAATTGCTTTCTTTTAGCACCTTTTGCACTAGCGCGCCGGTCAATAACTTATTAAACACTAGTATGTACAATTTTGGTTAGTACAATGAACTTTTTAAAACGTTTTAAGTCGTGAATAATAGACTTAAAAAAATTATGTCGACCTACACAGCGACGAATAAGGTAAAGTGGGCGAAAGCGATAATTGCACAGAATACTAAAGTGTGTAAGTGGTGGCAAGGGCGCGGTTATTGTGGTCAGCAACTAACGCTAATTTATAGCCATAATATTTGTCTAGAGCTATAGAGCTGATAAGCGATTTTAAATTTTCATTTAATTTCACTACCTGCGACGACTTTATCAACTATATGAGGAACGCTTTTATTTCAGTTTTAGTTAGTTTGGAGTGAAAGCTTTTTTTTCATAACCACGCATGCACTTCATCTGCTGCCAGTTTTTTAAATTTCTAACTTTTTCTTTTAATTTTTTTTATGTACTCTTGAAACATTAAAAAATAACTGTTAAAAAAGTCAATAGTAAAAATATTGATCGTCTTTTTGTACGAAAAATATACCCTTGACCTTAATAATAAGTGTCATCCATTTTTAATGTTGTTCAAAATACTTCGATTTATTTCACTGTAAATTTTTTATCAAATTAACGCGATTTCATGAAATTTTCATAATAATAAATTAATTTAATTAAAATTCATCCAATAACTTATAGTCACTGCGAATAAAAAAATTTATTTTCTCTCATTTTTACGTCAAAATTACTTTATTTCATCAAATTTTCATATTATTAATTTATTTTTTTTTGTTTCATCTATTTCTTACTATGACTAAAAATACTCAAAACTATTACTCTTAAATGTTCACTTTAAGTTTACATAATATCCGCACAGTTTAGTAAAAAATTCTCTATTTATTATATGTTATATACTTTTTACTATAAATGCCCTTAATTTCACTACAGTTCCATAGTTATTTACTTTATTTCATAAAATTTCTTCTGCTTTTATTTCACTAACTTTTCAGCTTCAAGCTACTTACTTAAGTTCATTCAATATATTTCATACGGTGATTCAGAATACATCTAACACACACTATAATAACTTAAACAATTTCCCTTCAAATATATTTTCTCCATAATTTCATAATTATAAATATCACTACTTTCTTTAAGTTTCAATTTTCGACTGATTTCTATTTAGCTATTATTTAGTTTATTATATTTACTTAGTTTAATATATTTTTATTTTGTGTGAATTTTAATTTCGCTTCTGTGTATTCACTTTATTGGGTTTTCCATTTCATTCTTTTAATGTTTACGAAACTATTTCGCAACTTCTTTTTTGTTCTCTTTTTCAATTTCAGCGCTTTCACTCGGTTTTCTGTTTCACCGAAATATTATCTCGAATTTCATAGTTACAGTTCAATTTCATATTTCGTATATTCGTTTTTATTTCACAACACTTTTTAACATTATTTACAATTTTTTCTCTTTCATATTTTCTTTTACCCAATGCATATTGCAATAATCCACGCCGCTTTGTGAGAATTTAATGAACTCACTTTTTATTCAACTATTTTGTTTATTTCACTCAATTGTAGTCGCTTTATATATAATATATAACCAGTGAAATTCATTGATGTTACTTCTATTATTTTTTTCAATCCGCTTACATTTGTGTTTCTTTTATGTATTCTAAGCTTTGTGATGGTAAAGAACATATGCATTCATTCTTTTTACATGTAAAGAAATATATTTTTCCTTTGTATAAATTCTTTTGTAATGATTTGGAATTTTTCACTTTAATTAAATTCGGCACAATTGATATTGTTACTGTTTTTCTAGTGATTATGTAAATACAATTGTGTAATAAAAAACTGTAATGTCTAAATGGTTTCATAAGTTTTCATTCACTTGAATGCCGGTTCTGTGTAATTATAATAACTTTTCTTCAAAACGTAACATTAATTGTTGGCCTTCTGTCTAATTCGCCGCTTAGCGAAGCATGAAAATTTCAAAGCACAAACAAGTGCTTGAATATTTCGCGCCCTTGCACACAAAATACCAATAAAAAAATTTCCTAATTACATTAATTAATTCATATTTCGACGCCACGACTTCACCTTCAGCATTTAAAAGTATTTGCAAACTATTAAATAAAGGTTTCGCCGCAATTAAATGTGTAGCGTTGGTACATACATATGTACATATATATGTACTCATGTGAGTAATGTCGGCGTATCAGCAAACTTTGAGTACACAGCCGGAAACCGCAAACACCTCGCCGGAAATGAAATAAAAGCGGTTTTCAACGCAGACACACATACACAGGCAGACGACTAGTGGTTTCTGGCGAAATTCAATCGGCATGATCAATGATTGTATGTTACTTGTACTTTGAAAATATTTCAGTTAAAGTAGGCGCGGTCACAACAACACGCTTTCAGTTACAACAATATAGCTTAGTTGGGGATCTACACAGATATTAGCGCATACTGAGTAAGAACTAGAGTGGAAAATATTAAGTACAATAAATTGCGCAATTAATTAGCAACTAACATAAGCTAACTAAAAGCAGTAAAAAAGTATACGACAGCTCTTTGAAGAGTGTAAGTATATGAAAAATGCATGTAGTCTCTCTGAGAGCACAGGTAAAAAGCTCATTAGCTTTCCAAACGCGCTATTGTGACGTCAGCAAAGCAAAAACTATTGCCAAGTACCGTGAAAACGAATCTACATATATTTTTTTGGAAATTGTACAAAACTTCACGGAATTTTGAGAAGCAGATTATTTTCAAATAACACATAGTAATACAATAATTAATACTTTTTGCTTAGAAAACAACAATAAAGTACTTGCCCTGAATTTTTATTTTATTTTTTAGACAAAAAGCAATGGACCGCTGTAGATACTTTTTTAATCATTTTCACGTAAGGAAATAAATTCAACGAATTTTTGTATACATGATATATGCGTGTACATTATATACATACTAGTAAATAAAATATCCGTAAAGATTTTCATATTCCACAAAATGTTCTAATTTCCGATAGCAAGAATTCAAATATTCGACGTTTATTTACATAAATTTGCATGTTTGCTATACGTATCTACATATATCTTTATGTATTATATATACTCATACATACCTATGTACATATGTGTACATATTTGGTTATAAACAAAAATGCGCAAACAGCATTTTGGCCTGCTGCAATGCCGCCATAAATCAATTTAACGCGCGTGCGCCTGACCATGAATTTGTCCACACAAACACTCGTACAACACATATGCCTACATACATACCAATATGATATTTAAATATATTTATGCGTTCAGCCGCATTCGTGGCCGTTATCAAGTGTGAAAACTGCGTTAAGCCAAACGTAAATAGAGAAGAGCACAGGAAAAAAAATGCTTAATGACTGCAGAGCACACAATAAACTGAAATTGAAATTGAAAAAAAAAAAACATTAAAAACTTCCATAAAATATGTATCTGTGTGTTACGCTGAGCAAACAAATTCACTGGGATTTACGTTAAGAACGACCATAAAGACCAGCGAGTGGAATACAGGTAGGGAAACAAATTTACGACGTAGCAGAATGATACCAAGCGCGGCATTATATGACTACTTGCACAAACACTGATACACACAAACATGTACATACGCGTACGAAAGGCGCTGAGATGTTTGTAGGCAGCGCACAGACATTATAATGCAAGTAAATTGAGGTGTGAACTCGTAAAAAATGCTTAAAGCAATAAATTTCTACATAACTATGTATGTATGTACAAAATATAGTAGAAAAATCGTTTCTGGCATAATGTATGAGCGGCTATACTTGGAAATTGCTTTCGTTTATTTTAGATAATTATACCGAAAAATGCTTAATTCCGCTCATCGTATGTATGTATGTACAAATATGGATGTAGGTATACATCCATCCACATATTTTACGTTATATTGCTTAAAATTATGCCGCTCGTCAAATGACATACACAAAAAAGCAGCAACTAAGCATGAAAATATTCATTTCATTACATAATAAAGCTTAAGCGGCAGCATAATTTTCGGCTCGCCTTAGCTTATCTACTCAAATAACCGCCTATCAGCGAAAATTAAACACCGCAAATACAGTTAAGCAACTCAAACAAAAGCGGAACGTGATATAAGATTTAAGAATTTTTAATAAATATAAGTAAATAAGTAAATGTAGTGGAAATATGTGACCTAAAAATGGTGTATAATGTAAGGGTGTACTACGTCGCTAAAGCAAAAATAAAACATAAAAACTAAATAGTGTGAGACATCTTAAGGCGGACAAACTAAACCCTACATAAAGTGTTTTAAAAGTTTCCAGACAAGAACTTGATTTTGATCGGTTTTGTTTGTGTGGCAACTAAGTGCTATAGTGGTACGATCTGAACAGTTTGTTGGCAGCTTGTAACATTCTCTTTGCCAATTATCTATGTCAAATTTCGTGAAGATATTTTGTCAAATGAAAAAGTTTTTCATACAAAAACTTGATTGTGTTGGTCAGTTTGTATGGCAGCTATAAGCTATAGTGGTCTCAAATCGGCGCTTCTGATATATCAGTAACTTTTTGGCGAGCAAAGGATGTATGCAAAATTTCAGATCGATATCTCAAACACTAAGTGACTTGTTTGTGTATATATTATGCAAACGAAAAGTGTATGTGTAAACAAAAATGTTATATAAAATATTTTTTTTTTGCTTTTATCAAAAATTTTAATAAATATTTACTGAAACTTTAAAATATATGCAGAAATCGTGGTGACTTGTAATTTTTGCTGATTCTAACTACTTGGCAGCACTAAACACAGCTCGCATAAATTTTTCACACATAAAACGGCGCATTTGTTGTTGCTGTCTATGGCATACGCTAACCTAACGAGCGTTCTATTGCATTGTGGTTGTCTAAAAATACCGCACAAACCATGTAGAAGCCACATTTCATGATATATTACAACAACAACAAAAACAATATATTATTTATATGCATTAAAATACATGAAAGAATTCAGAAAAGCCAAGAAAGAATTATTATAACATAGAAAGATGAAAATATAACAACATGAAAATATTTCAATGACCTCAGCGCCAATATGAAAGCATTTCTAAGCAAAAATATTTGTGAAATTTGCATTTGAAAAATCCAAACAAGAAAATAATTAAAATAAAAGCAGTAAAACAAAGCGGGCGTAATGTGTGTGCCTGCCAAGTGTTGCTTGCCACAGAATGGAAATCTGAATAGTACACACACATACACCCACACACACGAAGCGTTATAGTTTTGGGCCAGAATGTCTCTAGGTCACGTCGCTAGCACACTCACGCCCCAACTGGGGACTGAGGCCTACAACAATAGAGCACAAGCACAACTAACAAATAGTTGCAACACACATACATGAAAGTGTATGAGGAAAGCCCAATTGTTTGCAATATAAAGGCGCAAGATGGCATAGCAATAGCGCTTTGTGAAGAAACGCTGCTGACTGCCACCAGTTGGACGAACGGACGGCTGAACGGCTAGTTGGGTGAGTTGATGGATGTGTGCGGATGGAGATGGACGTATGGTTGGACGTATAGTTAGGCCGACAGGCAATGCGGTGGGTCGCACGAGCACACAATCAATAGACTCAAAGCGAAATGCAAAACCAAAAACAGAAATAGAAAAGGGAAATTAACAATGCTGCGCGCTGATGAAACGTTGGGGGTCTCTCGCTATACAAACGCAAGTAAAAGCCAAGTTTGTTTAGTTGCTTTATTTCATACACTGTCATTTCGTCTTTTCCTTTTTTAATAAATAACAGTGGTGGCGATAGTAAATGTGTGCACACACACACAACTAACTGTACATATAATGGTATTCATGTACATATAATTGCATATACATATATATGTACATGTGTATGTATGTGTATAGTTGTATTTGTGTATATATGTTATGTATGTAGATTAAGTTGCAAGTAGTTACCGTTGACGCCGTTGACGCGGCCCAAACGCCGTCATCCCAAAGTCAGCCACCGAGTTCGTGCACATTGTCTGGTCTGGAAATAGTGGTTTCGAGAGGGTTGAACTTATCATTTTGTTGATATGTTTGTTTTCACTTTGTCGAGTGTGTTTACTTTACTTAAGACCCTACAAACGAATATCAAGCGCACATATTTGTATGCGCATATTTACGGTCAACAGACGTGCTGGCACACACATACACACGTGCATCCTCATATGGACGATATGTGGAAGCATCATATGAAATAAGAGCAAATGTGTTATTTTCGCATATGATGAATATGCATTTGTTTGTTTGGTGAAATAATGGGGAAAATAATAACAAGGCTTTAAATGAGTGAGGGCAAAGTTTGAGGTGATTGCTTGAGCTTTGTGTGTACGTGTGGGGGTGGCGCGAATACAAAACGAGTGTTCAAATACAAATGCATGTGTAGGCGTCCATTAGCGCAAATGTAATTACAGCAAAAGAATTACACTTGATTTGCAAGTTGTTTTGTGTTAATGAATTTATTGATTTTTCGCAATAGAGAGCTAATCGTAAGCATAATCGAAAAAAGTCAAACCGAATTAGTATTAATATATTCCCATATGCATATAAGTACATGTATATACATATAACTGTAATGCATGAAAAAATTGATGACAAAGTATTTGAAAATGTAGTTGATTAGTAATCATTACTCATATGGTAGTATTCAGTTTTTAAATCGAAATAATTAGTTTTTATTGTAATTACTATTGCATTTAAATTAATTACCATTATTATTATAAATAAAATTTCTATTGCCATTAACACTACTAACACGTTACTTCACGCAAAAGTAATTCAAGATACAATATTTGAAGTGACATTACAATTACATGCATTAAAATTATAATTATCATTATGTATTGCCATTACAATTACTAATATCATTATAATTACAATTACAATTGCAATTACTTATTTTTGTTTGCTAAAAGTTCTCAGCACTTATTTCAAGTACCCAATATCAGTTACCTTTAACCCCTTAATATTCACGGAATAGTAATCGGTATTTATTTAAGATTGGTATTTGGTAATCTTCAGTGTACTTGCTGTCGATTTAAAATATTAGTCAATGATTTATAAATACGTAGCATAGTTTTAAGTATAAGGTAGTAATATTTTATAATATTTGCAATCTCAATAGCATTTTCAATAACGCCTCAAAGTATTGATTATTTGTTTAACCTTCAAGCGCATGGTTACTAGATATTAATAGCTAGTTTCTAGCACCTTTTATGGTTTTTTGCTACTTAAATTGTGATTTTAATTCAAAGAGAAGCTCTTTCTTATTCATTGCTTCTTAAATTATTTTTTTTTTTTAGTTTATTTTTATCGACAAATTAATTTCCTCAATAATGAATAATGTTATTAAAATAAATTATAATTATTATAAAAAAAAATATAAGATATTGATTAATTAGTGTTTTATTTCTCTAATACAAGTATATCCAATATTCTTTTAGGTTACGTGCGATCGCTGCCGTTACAAATGACCGCGCGCACGTTTGAAGGTTAACTATTATTTGTTCAATTATTTAGCTCCTCAACCGCTTCAAAGTCAGTATTTGGAATATTCGGTAACACTTTCAAGTACTCAGCATTGAATCAATATACTCAGTAGCCGTCATGAATATAAAATACTCATTTTCAATTCTAAGCGCTTATTTAGTGTTAACACAAAACGCCTAGTATTGGAATAAATACTCATTAAAATAAAAAAAAAAAACAATTAGATTATAGTGCACATTGTACATATGTATGTATATGTATAAGTGGGTAAGTAAAAACCTTGTAATGACGAAATATATGGCTTATATGTAATGGAGTCACCTAAATGTCAATCTAGATTAGTTTAAATGCTTATCACTTAACTTGGAAGATATACACAAAGAATGAACACGGTGTAAAATTGAAGAAAAAAAACTAAAATTAAATAAAAACAAGTTGTATTTTCCCTCACAAATAAAAAAGTTTTCCATACAAGAATTTGAGTTAGGACAATTGGCTTGATTTGGACAATTTGTTCGGAGATTAGAGCGTTGTCTTGGACAATAATTAATGCAAATTTCTTAAAGGTGTTTTGTAAAATAAAAAAGTTTTCCATACAAAGACTTGACTCAGTTTATGTGGCAGCTATATGCTATAATAGTCCGATATCGAAGGTTCCAGTTTCTTGGGGATAAAGAGATACTATGTGCAAAATTTTATATCGACATCTATAAACCTAATAGATTAGTTGACGTAGATGAAGAGAGACAGGCGGAAGCACATAGCTAAATTAGAGCAGCTCGTAAATGTATACGAGCTTTTATTTGAATACTTTAAAAGTTTTCCAAAGTTTCGTTCTACGGTGCTACAAAATTGATGGCAAACTTAGTATACTCTGTTCAGGGTATAAAAATGATATAATAAAGGTTTTAATCGAGCTAATGCACTTATGCATACATACATATACGTATGTACATGTCTGTGTCACACGCTAAAATTTTTAAATTCATAAAATGAAATTATCCATTAACAACAATTAAACTGCAACAAGGCACCACATAACGGTACACAGAAATAACTGTAAATAGAGATTAGTAATCAGCATGTTGTAGACACAAGCGTTAACTAGTTACGCTTGACTAATGTGCGCGTCAAGCGCAGTGACTTGGTATTATTTAAAATTTTTTTTGGTTGCTGCGCTGTTGACAGACAATGCTGAAATAATAACGTGAATAAAGCACATAACACAACAAAAACAGGGATAGCATTATCTAATTGTGGCGCATAGCAAACAAATGGCAGCACATGGCAAATTATATATTTGTTACACACATACACACACACATGGAAAATGGCAAAATATTTACTCGAAGCGAAGAAAAGAAAATATATGACAAATATTTAGATACACGTTTATTAAGCGATATCAAAAAATTATTTATATTAGAATTAATTCTAAGCCAGATAGTTTACTTTTTCCTTTTACATACACACACATACATATATGTATATATATACATTTAAAGATGTGTAATAAACAAAGTGAATAAACAATTTCAAGTATGAAATTAGTAAATATTAGATTGGCAAGCAGCTTAACTAATTTGAACATCCAAAGACATACACACACCTAGCTGCGGATTAGTTACTATTATTGCAGTGAAAAAAATGTATGACTGTAAAAAAATTTACTTGGAAAATTAGATAAGATATGAGAGGTGTGTGTGCCTAGGCCAAATGTATTTACGCGGCATGCCCATCGGGGGGAGAGGGGGCTGACAAGCGAGTTCTACAAACAAATGCTTGTATGTGCATTTAACGCGGAGCAAAATCAAGTTGAGCGTGTGCTATAGTTTATAACATGAAGGTGGCAGCTTTATTTATGACAAACACAAAAAACAACGTACACAGTTATTGTATGCGCTTGGGCCACAATTTGCTGTAGGTTCAGTTCAAAGCGTCATATTTTTTTGTAGCGCGAAAGGCAATGAAAAAGTCAACGAGCTGTTGAGTTGGAACAAATTTATAGTCGAGCGTTTGGTTTTGATGTGCTCAACTTTATGCTTTGGAATATTAGTTGAAAGTGTGTGTGAAAGCGAATTGTTGTAGCGTGCGTATTTGTTGGTAATTGATAAACAATTAAAGCATTTGGAAAGAAATATGATTGTAGACGAGCATAAATAAGAAATTGGCACTGAAAAACCATCAATACAAATTTGAAATGTCGCATGATACAAATAATTAGTACGACTTAGTAGCAGGTGTTATCAACTTTTTCTATATGCGAACCAATCATGAATTTGTTAATTTATTACACTTTTGATAACCGAGTAAGTGAAAATATGGAAATAAAAAATTATTTTTTGACATTAGTCAGATTAAGGCACATTTATTTTTTAGTGAGAGTGCTTGCTGTAAAGACCAAAAAAATTTTATTATAAAATTTTTATAATTATTTGCAGCTAATTAACAAAAATATATTTTTTATTAGAAACAATTTCCAAAGTAGGCCCATTGAAATAGTGCAAATCTGGTCAAGGCGTTTCTTAGACGTAATTTCCAGCCGGGTTTTAATATATATATATATCTATATATATATATTAAAAATTAAAAGATATATATATATGATATATAATATATTAAATTATACATTACATACTTATATAATAAATTTTTATTTACTTAAATTTTTTTTAATTTACTTTTTATACTCTCGCAACCTGTTGCTACAGAGTATAATAGTTTTGTTCACCTAACGGTTGTTTGTATCACCTAAAATTAATCGAGTTAGATATAGGGTTATATATAAATGATCAGGATGAAGAGACGAGTTGAAATCCGGGTGACTGTCTGTCCGTCCGTCAGTCTGTCCGTCCGTCCGTGCAAGCTCTAACTTGAGTAAAAATTGAGATATCTTTATGAAACTTGGTAGACATGTTTCATGGTACCGTGAGACGGTTGGTATTGCAGATGGGCGTAATCGGACTGCCACGCCCACAAAACGCCATTAATCAAAAACAAATAACTTGCCATAACTAAGCTCCGCAATAAGATACAAGACTGTTATTTGGTACACAGGATCACATTAGGGAGGGGCATCTGCAATTAAAATTTTTTTTTAAAAAGTGGGCGTGGTCCCGCCTCTAATAGGTTTAATGTGCATATCTCCTAAACCGCTAATGCTATAATAACAAAATTCACTGGAAGCAAATGTTTTTAGCACTTCTATTGACGGTGTGAAAATAGTTGACAACTCCGCCCACTCCCCATATAACGGTACTGTTAAAAACTACTAAAAGCGCGATAAATCAAGCACTAAACACGCCAGAGACATTAAATTTTATATCTGAGATGGTATAAGATGACTTTATAGGAACCGCGTTCAAAATTAGACAGTGGGCGTGGCACAGCCCACTTTTAGGTGAAAACCCATATCTTGAGATCTGCTTAACCGATTTCAACCAAATTCGGTGCGTAACGTTCTTTTCATGTTTCTATATCATAGTGCGAAAATGGGCGAAATCGGACTACAACCACGCTTACTTCCCATGTAACACCATTTTCAATTCCATCTGATTCTTTCACATTCCACTATGCAAATCAGGTAAAAATGATTATATCGGGGTAAAACTTTGCGTGAATAATGCAATTAAAGTATGCCACCTTGCGGCCAAAAATTGTCTAAATCGAACCAAAACTGTTCAAACCCCTAAGTACTAAATATGTGGACCCCAGTGCCTATAGTTGACCTTCTACCGAAAATATCAGTCAATCCACAAAGAAATCTCAAACGAGTATACCATTTGACCTTGCGAGAGTATAAAATGTTCGGTTACATCCGAACTTAGCCCTTCCTTACTTGTTTTGTATACTTTTTTTTATTATATTTTATAAAAAAGAAAATCAAAAATACTGTCTTCTGCTTCTTATATATTTTACGTATGTACATAGGTATGTATATTGTGACGTCACGCATGTCAAATAGTTCATTAAAAAACCCCCGTTGTTAAGTGTGTTTAGCAAACAAATATAAACAAGTGAGAGAATTTCATAATATATATTAATGTGTATTTATATTATGTTATCATAAATGACAAATTGCTCACAGCTGTAGAGCACTGTGCTACTCTTTAAATATTTAATAGCAAAAAATGTACATAGCTGCCAACATTTCTTATGAAATCAAAATATTTATTCAACCCCTTCTTCTGTGCAAAAGCAAACCCCAATAAATTAATAAAAAACACTTAGCAAACGCAGAGTTGCTTGTAACTAACCGTAAATACAGGCAAGTGCCAATAACTAAGCAAATTCTTAATTTAAGTCCAAGCAAGTATTTATCAATAAACAGACTATATTGATTAGCATTTTTTCTATTTACAAAACCAAGAGCCATTAATATCGATATATTTGTACACACGCGAAAACATATGTACACACACAGACATCCAAATATGTGCTCGTATGCTTAGATAAGATATGCGGCGACTAGTACAATTGAGCACATTTCTTAATTTCTGGCTTGACTAGTTTTCAATTAAAAATTCCACTGCACAAGTAATGGACTAAGCCAAAAACAATAACAAAATAACAACGTATAGATCACCTGAGTGTGTGTGTATGTATGTGTATTTGTACTTTATGAAAATAGTTAAACGAAGCAGAAAAAAGTGTTAGTCGTGTGTATTAAAAAGGAAAATAATAAAAATCCGAAACTAATAAAAATATACAAAACATCAACATTTATCAATGTTCAATTGTTGTTTGTGACGCGGACAACTTGGACACGAACCAGTTTCTGCTTCGCTACTAAAAGTATGTACCCAAATCGACGGAGGAGCAATGCGAAGAGAAATTTAGAACACATGATGGTCATAAAAATATAAAAAATAAATAATATACTACAAAATAAATAACATGATATGAAATCAATAATATAATATATTATATTAAAAAATAAATGACATAATAAAAAATAAATAAAATATTGAAAAATAAATAACATACTAAAAAAATTAAATAAAATATAAAAAAACATATAAAATAATAAAACGGGTAAAATAAAAAAAATTAAAAAAAGAAGTAAAAAAAAAAATTTTAAAATAAAAAAAAATTAATAAATAAAATTAAAACATAAAATGTATATAAAAAAATTTTAAATAAAAAAGAGACATTAAAATAGCAAATAACAATTAACAAAAAAAAAATTTAACAATATAAATTAAATAAAAAACTAAGAATTATAAAATTTAATATTAAAGTAAAAAAATAAACAAAACAAAAAAATAAAATATAAAGTAAAAAGGAAAAAATAAAAAAAAGTAATAAATAAAAAAAAAATTTGGAATTTTCAGCATCAACGAAAAAACTGATATATTTAAACAACCTAAGATATATAAAAAAATAATAATTTCATTAAAAAAAAAAATAATTTAAAATTTATACAAAGCAAAACAAACCAAAATTAAAAATTAATCTGTAAAAAAAATGTTGAAAACAAAAATGACAAAAAATTGTTTAAAAACATGTTTAAAGGTATAAAAGACAAAAAAAAACTATAAAACCAGCTAAGATTCAAAAAACATTATAAAAACGAAAAATAGATAAGAAAATATAAAAAAAAATACTGTTTCCAAATATAAACAAAAACAGCAAAAAAACTACGCTTGGTGAAATAAATTTTGAAAATTTCAACAAAAATATAATAACAAACATTACAAATAGAAAATATATTAAATTGTACTTTAAAAAAATTCAAAAAGGAAAAAAAATATATAAAAAAATTTCACAACGAGCAAAATACTGAAAAAATTATGTAAATTATCTTTATCTTTAATTGAAAAATATAAAAAATAAGCTTAAATATTATAAAAAGTAAAATAAAATAAAAAACAAAAAACGTTCAATTTGACTGCACCGCAGCTATAATACTCTACATATGTAGGTGTATGTCCCATAGCATAAAATCATACAAGTGTATAAAAATAATAGATTTCAATTAGTCAGTTTGTATAGCAGCTATATGATATAGTGCTTCGAACTGAACAATTCGTTACGAGATTGTAGCGTTGACTTGCACAATATTCTACGCCAAAGTTCGTGAAGATAGCTCGTCAAATTAAAAAGTTTTTCTTACAAGGACTTGATTTTAATCCATCGCTTTTTATGGTAACTACATATATATTATAGTAATCCGATATCGGCGTTTACAAGAAATGAGCAGGAAGGAAATTATATGTGCAAAATTATATAATATATAAGTATGTATATATATTATATTATAAGGTCTCCGACGCGTTCTTTTAGATGTTATAAACTTCGTGGCAAATTTAATAATCCTATCGGGGTATAAAAAGTCGCATAAAATAGTCATTAAGGCCTAAATTGTCTTAGGGAAATTTTTGGTTTTTCTTTTACCTGAAATCGGTAAACTTTCAGAAATATTTACCACTCGTGCACATTGTTTTACAAACAAAACGAAAACATTAAAAATTGAGGTTATGTGAACTTTAGTAAAGGATGCCAGCGCTCAAACTCGATACACCAGCCACAATTCGACGCCGGTGAACTGTGTAATGCCATATGGTCTTTTCAAAGAACATATCATAGCGAAGTAATTAAAACAAATATTGTCTCTGTCGGATTTGCACAAATCTCATTATACGGATCTCATTATGTGAATTGAGCAGTGGATTGTGAAAAGCGATAAGCCGCAACAAGAGAGACGTGCTACATTATAATACAAAGCTATTATTGTAAACTCTTTGTCAGCACTTTTTAAACTTTGCTTTTGTTGTTGCCATTGCTTTGTTTTCGTTTTTTTTTTTGTTGCAGTTTGATATTGTTTTGAAAATTATATTCTTCGAAGAACTACAGAGCTCAGCTCATTTGCTTGCGTTTTGTTCTGCACGCTCGATTTTCGAAACCTTTTAATGCAAATTAAGTATTCTATTTGTTTTGTAGCTTTCATCTTATTGTTGTTGCTCAACAGACCCCAAAATGTATAAGGTCTTTAATTTCGTTGTAATGAAAGTTTTCGCTATTTTTTTTAATGTGATTCAGTGATTTGCTTGGTCCCACTCAAAGGCGGATTACATAGAGCAAAGGGCAGAATGAAAATGCCATCAGCGAGCATACACACGCACATATATACATATTTACATGCATATGCATAAGCATATGTATGCATAATAGATATAAGTAAGTAGATAATGACGAACGCAACAACATCAATCAATCAGGCAAGTCGAGAGCGAGCAAGAAAAAGAATGCGGCTGGCGTCGAGGGGGTGGCATAACTGTTGTTCTTATTGTACTCTAAATCGCGCATTGTTCGGCGAGTAGGCAAAGTGCAAAATAATGAATGCATTTGTATTCTGAAGCAAGAAGCGGCGTCAACAATGACTAGAAGATTATTATAACAACAATGCAACAAGATATTGTTTACAGTGACTCATCTGGAATGTCTTCAATCACAACAACAGCATGTCGGACAAAGTGTTAAACGTCATTAATTACATAGGCATAAATGTAGAAGCATTTCCAAGCCGCTATATATACATAGGTATGTGTATTGTTGTTGCTACAAAGCCTTTTTGCTAGGAATTTTCCGAATAAATGACGCGTTAAAAAGGAGCTGGCAGGCAGTTAAGCAAATTTATGCAGGATTTACAGGATAGTTTGGTGAGATATATCGCAGCATAGTTGGATCTAAACAATGGCCGACGGCATGCAAATGCAAAGATAAAAGGCAGTCAGTCGTATGTGGAATTTCATTGTTGCAAAGTGATATATTCCGGTAATTTCACACAGCGCTGTCGTCAAATAGAAATGCGAAGACAAATAAAAACACATGGTGATTCGACAAAAGAGACATTAAGTGAAAGCTGGCGTTATAAAGACGTTAATGTCATGCCGATAGATTATACGATGGCGATTAAACTTGCATGCGGTAATAAGCCTAAGCATTAAAAGTGATTTTGTGCAAGCAAGTAAGTAAGAAGAAAACGTTTCAAAGCAGTGTTTACACGTAAAATTGTGTCATCGAAGGGAAATCGACGAAAATGTAAGAAAAGAAAAATAAATAAATAAATGAAAAAAGAAAGCAGAAAAGAAAAAATTGATTGAAAAAAGATGATAAAATAAGTGATCCAATTTAACAGGTCATATGGTAGGCACTTTCCTTTTGTAAACGAGCGGCCAAGGAACGCACGCTTAGATAACCAAGTATTTGTAAGGCAAGAACACAAAGTCGTTTAATTTTTTTAAACACTCACTTGCGAGTTTTTGAAAAGACATATTTTTAAATAAATACATTTAAAAAATTGTACATTTACATTTAAATTTTAACTTCCCTTGAGCACGTAGCCGATTATCGGGAGCAGCTCCGAAAAAAGGTGTCTGGCGTAGAGCAAGATTTTTCTGCTTGCAATTATCTTAAAACCAAAAACAAAACAAGCGAATATTATTAAAATTGATGAATACAGTTAATGATTGAAGCACTAGTCAAATTCTTTATTTTGACAAAATGGCGGCTCATCAAAAAATGTGGTTTTTTGTGTCAAAATATATGCTTCAAAGTGGCTTAAAATCAAAATTATTAACAAACATCTTATCCATTACCGGACATGTGTACATACATATATTAGGAAGGCTGTTTAAAAGTGTCAAGTCGATTGGTCCAAACGTTTCGGAGAAATTTTTTCAAGGACTTGAGGCGAGAAAAACGCCGATTACACTAAGTTCAAAAATACAAAATACAAAAAATTATATATACCGAAATTTGGGAAACACAGTTTTTTTTGGGGAAAACAAATTTTCGGAAAATATTCTTAAATATATTCCATAGATATTATACACATATGTACATACCAATGAATATACGATATAGGTATATAAAAGTGTTTTTTTTTTCTTTAATTTAACAATGAATATAACCACTTAAGCGACTTTCAATGTGGTATCGCAACATGAAAAAGTAAATAGTAATTTTTAATTTTTTCCACTTCAAATTTTGTTTTGCGGAGCAACGCATATAAAATATTACAGCTTATTCCGTCGGTGTAAAAATTTATCGAAACCAATATAAATGTTGAATAAACACTTTCTTGTATTTCATATTCGTAAAATTTAGTTTTGGGCGCAAAGTGGATCAAAACCGTAATTAAAAGTTTGTACTTACGTAGAATGCAGTAAATAATATGCTATATGTATATGCAGACACGATTTTTTGTAGCAATAAAATGTGCTAGAAACGCCAGTTTTGCAAACTTACCTGTAAGGAAAAAATAATAATTTAATGAAATATTTAGAAAAAAATATATTGTTTATGTTTTTTTTTTTAAAGAAGAAGTTTAATATTTTTGAATTGATATTTATATATTATATATATATATATATATATTTAAATTTATTACGTAATTGTATAATAGAACTTATTGTGTAGGCAAAAGCCATATTTTGTACTCATTTAAGGGTCTTACAAGCACTAAGCGCAGCGTGCTACTACATTTTTGAAACATATAACTTAAAATAATAAAAACCAACAACAATAATAACAACGGAGTGTTAACACATTCACTTCGTTAGCAACAAAGCAGCTTACGAAAATGAAATTCCTTTATATCTCTTGGGTATAAGTGAGATAATTACAAAAGCACATAATTTTTCAAAGCTGCGCGGGTGCAGGAGCACTTAATAAGCAAAGAATATACAACAAACACCACTTTTACACATACATATGTTTGTGTGTATGCATGAACAAACGACATTATCTCTAACTGTACAAATTGAAGTTGAAAGTTCACTTTGAAGCCATTACAAATGTACAAATGAATGGAAAAGGCGTGCGGAAAAGCAAGCGTTAGCTGATAAATGACTTGGCGCTCACCACAACGTTGCCACAGTGACGCACTGTAATTTCACCAGCTTGTCATAACAACAAAACAAATCGAACAGCTTATTAGCCAAAATTAATTAATTAACTACAAAAGTTTCTATGCAATGAGAGACAAAGCAAACAAATGGCAAAGAAATGCAAAACGAAAAAAAAAAATCTAAACAACACTGTGGCAAGCTACATACGAACGCGTGATGAAGCAATTTTCCAGCGCAATGCGTGCGGTTGTAAGCGCTTTGAACGATTTGTAAGGCTTGTTGTATTTGTTTTTAATAAGCTAATAGTAGGACAAGCAACAACAACACGCACGAAGCAAAAGTCAAGGGTCGATTTTCACTTTAGCTCATTATGCAGATGGCAACCCTTTCGCTTGCCGCATTTGCAATTCACGCCCTTAGTCATAAATTATCTAAAAAACATTATAATAACAAATAATTCCGAGGCGAACAAATGCCTGTGTATATGTGTGTGTATGCATTGCGGTTTGCATGCTAATAAAAGTTTTGTGCCGAAATTCATGTCAAGGATGTGGATGTTTGGCGGAAATAATGACTTCAACGATGTTGGCGGCAGCGCGAAGGACACACCTAAAACAAATTTTCTAAGCGGGGACAACAACAATAGTGTTCGAAGTTACAAAAACAAAAAGCGCTTTCAAACGCGCACGGAAGGCCTGATGCGCTGATGGCTAATGTCGATACGCGATTTGCGGGCACGAGCGCGAGATTTATGAATGTATGCATGATGGGGATGCGCATTAAGAAACCATTATTAGAGAAAATTAGAAAGAAAAACTTGAAAAATTTCTAAAAAAAAAAAATAAAAGGAGCGCGCGGTGTGAGTAGCGTATGCAAACAATAATAATTTAGACACTCACTTACGTCTGGTGAATTTTGCTTGTAACTAAGTAATAAAATCAAAGTGAAGCGCGGCGAAGAATGACAGAAATTTATTTAATATTCGTTACACATGCCAACAATGGGAGAGGAATAAGCGACAGACTTGATGAGTGGGTAGGTGGATGGGCGCAAGCCTCGCGCGAGTCATTAAATTCTTCGCGCATCATTCAACACAGCGACAATGTGCAAACTGAAAGAACGAGCGCGCACACACTTACTCACATATATAGAAGAATGTGTATATGTGCGCATATTCCAAGCCACAACTAGAACCCGAGCCGGTTGCAGCGCGGTGGCAACACTTTAGATGACATTTTTGTGGTGACTTTTGATGTTCGCACTCTCAAGGGTTGTGCGTATGTGCGCGCGTATGTGTGTGTTAGGTGGAATAAAAAATTAACGAAAAAAAAATAACAAAGAAAGGGTGTTGCATTCGTGGGCTGAGGCGAGCGGTGGAGCATTTCCCCCGAGTCACGTTCTACGCATACGAAATTCTTGGCATTTGCGCCGCTGTGAGCGTGCTGCAATATTTATTAAGTAACCAAAAGAAGAACAAAAAAGGAAAAAAGCAAAAAAAAAATTATAATAAATAAAAACGAATGCTCGAGAAAAGTGATAAAACACGTGGAATAAAATGAAAAAATAAAATACAAATAAATAATGAGTGGCATAAAACCAAACAACAACAAAAAACAGTAGCAAAAATAACAACAAAAAGAACTGTTATATTATAAAAGCCAGCGCGCATATATTGGGGTTAACACTTGATTAACCGCTGCGACGCACGCGTGTGTGTGCGCGCTGACGAAATGACTGAATTTCATAGCGAAATGTAGAAATGTGTGTGAGGTGAAGCGAAAAGTACAAATAGGTATTTGTGCAAATAAGCGCAAAACACAAAAAGCGACTTAAGAAAATGAGCTGCTATTTTACGCGAGCTGTTAGAAGCGGCGCGCACACGTACACCCAAACACACAGCAGTAAACATATGTATGCATGCATATAATACATTATTTAAGACGCGTCCATTGCCGACGCGGACGCCGTCAAGGCGGACATAAAAGCCACACAAATGGCCGCGCGTATCAAGGGCAAATGCGTCAAGGCGCTGCGGTGAGGTGGCGGTGGCAACAATGGACTTGAGTGGCAGCAATGACATTATAAATAACCCATACACACACACAAGCACATGGCTATCGAAAGTAAAAGTAAAGTGGCAAAGAACATGTAAGAAAATATAGAAATAAAAAAGGAAACAAGCAAACAAAAAAAAAATACAACAATAGCAGCAAAACAACGCCGCTGTAAGCGAATTGAAAATTTACAAATAAAATTCAATAGAAAAAGTGTGCGCACACACATGCACAGTGGGAAGAAAATCACAATAGGCCGAAAAACAAAGCGGAGAAAGTGGCGTGGGGCAGGACACAAGTATTTAGGTGGCCGGGCCAAGTCTCCGTTAAAGTGTGAGGATACATACATTATGCGCGCACACTTACACACAAACACAGAGGCGCTTACAAACGTCAAGTCAAATGGCAGCGGTAAAAAGGCATGCCATTAAAAGCAAATATGTTAAAAGCGTAAAGAGGGTAGCGCCACCCCTAGAAGGGCAACACGTATGTACATACACAAACATACAAGCATGAGCACACACACAGAGAAAAAACTAAAGCGTATAAACAAAGCGAAGAGAGTATGAATAAGAAAAACTTACAAAAGATATAAAAGTAAAAGCACGTACATAAGAAATAAAGTTGCCAAACAATAATACTATACAACAACAATAACAATACAAGTAAGAGCATGCAATAAATCGTGCAAAGTGAAATGGGAAGGAAGTCTAGCGCAACCGACACACTTGTCATTGACAAACTGAATCGACGCCAACGGCCCCAAAAGCCCAGCAAAAGTAACGCGTTTTACAACAACTTGATGGAAATTGCTTTCGAGGCACACATACATGACAATCTACATACAGATATGTATGTAAATATAGCTATGTATATATTTGCATATCTGCGAGTGCAAGTGCTGGTTAAGTAAATAAAAATCGAGAAACTAATAAAAAAAATGGCTAAATGTTTGCCAACAATATTGGCCACTGAGCCACAGCCAAGTGAGCATACGCACACACACATACACGCAGGCACACTTGCATTTATGGTGGTAGCTGCGTGCGAGATAGGGCTGGAAACATTTTATAAATAATCGTTTCTCGATTTTGTATTTTTCGATCCTAAAAATCGATTAAGACCAATAACTGTTATAGTTAGTAAATATGTTAAATAAAAATAATATTTGACTTTCTATCACATGGTTTCCTATGATATTATAATAGTATGTAGAACATGAAACTAGTTACCTAACCGTATAATCGAATGCCGAGAATCGATTCTTGATCGATTTCAGAAGATAAAGGTCGACTCCGAAAAATCTACTATTTTATGCAATAAATGGATCATCGAGTATAATCGGCAGCGAGTTTGCCATCCCTAGTGCGAGAGAAGGTATGCGGTCACTTGTCAACATATCGGCCACTACTCGCTGGTAGCGCCGACTTGGCCTGATATGACTGTGCCCAATCGATCAATATCGATGTTAACAACAATAACAACTACAATGACAACAGCAACAGCAACTGCTAACGATGCGCAGCATATTGACAAGCATTGGCGTGTGTACTTTGACTTCATTAACAAGTTGACGCAAATACTTGATAGTAGCAAAGCCGAGCTGCGCACGACGGCGACGAGTGCGCGTTGAAGTGGCGTGGTGGAGAGCAAATAACGGAATATGAATATTAGGTGTGCTAAAAGCGCAAAAGAAGGCGATGAAAGCTGGTTGATTGAAAAAAAAGTATAAACTTCGTAAAAGAAAAACAATAAAATAGAGCAAAAGCGCTTCAATACTTTCTTTTCTTTTAGTCCAGAGAAATTCACACACAGTGTTCCACACAGAAAAGTTAATTTTAATTCAAAGTTAAGCAATTCTTAGCGTTTTTTGCAATGTCAACTGCTTTGATGACGTCATTTTAGCGAGTGTTTTTTGGCGTATTCTTGCTTTTGGTACCTCCAAAGAAAATCATATGTGTCTCTTTTTTAACACATAATAAATTGCATTAAAAAATTATAAATTATAAATATTTTGACAGTGTTATTACTGTCCGTTGACCTTGAGCGAGGAAACACTCGATAATAATATCGAAATAAATCAGAGAAAAGGCACTGACATATGAAATGTATAAACAAAGAGAGCTCTGCAAAATTCGAGACGAAACCAAACCACAGTTTTCTAAGGAAGAGAGCTCTTTTTTTTCCTCCAGCAGTTTTGACCATCATAGTTTGACTGTTGGCTTTTACTAGTAACGACGTCGTGAAGGCAACCTTCATATATATAATCTTTTTCAATAGTTGTAAATTTACCTCGGTTAAGGTGTCGAATATCATTCAAATGGTAGTCAAGCACTCAACCCAATTGTCTATGATGACTGCCATATCTTATAGTGGTTAAATTATTTATTTTGGGTTGGGGCGACCTTTAAGCCTTTGAACATTTTTGTATCTTCATTTTCAGTGCGGTCCGAGATTTAGCAGTACTAGATCTGACTCCAGAATGGAGGAAGGTTTCGTGAACCAATTTATAGTTACGTTGGCTAATTGTGTTACTAGGAAGAGTTTTCAACTCTGCAAAGTGAATATTTGTACACTAGAGCGCTT